GGCTCACTAAGTGGTGAATAAATGAGTGAAGTATGGGAACAACCTGTAGAAGCACCTGTATCGATCAGCCAATCAACCTGTGGTGAACCCTATGCAAAGGTTTTGGGTTCAAAGAGAAGGGCTACAAATGTGAACTCAATTCCCAGGAAATGTGTCTATCTTGACAGTTGATCTGCTGGGTCACATAATGGAGTTCATGTAAAACAGAATTGATCAATATCTAGCTCTCTCTGTCTCTGTCTCTGTTTCTCTCTCTCTCTCTCTTTCTTTCCCTCCCTCCCTCTAAGTCCTGAGAAACTTATCAATTACTTAGCAATTCACCCAGACTTTTGAATGCTCTAAAGGTAATGTTCAAAACCCTAGACTCTGAAGGGGTCATCACAGTTCATCTACCAGGGCTTTGAAAAGAAAACAAAACAACAGCCCCCAACCACTGAGCGCAGCTTTGTTTGTGACGGGTTTCTTTGCTTATTGGAGACAATGTCCCTCCCTAGGCCCCTGGACTCTAGTTCCACTGACCCAAAAGGAAACAGGCCAGCAAAGACAGGAGGCAGAGCCACCATTTGAAGAGCTTGGCACACCTGAGCTCTAAACGCCCACCCCATTGTCTCCCAATATAAGGAGCAGACCCCTGGACTGCTGAAAAGTCCAAGTCCCCTTGCTAGGCCCAGCTCCAGTCCCACCATTTACGTCCTCATCTGCCAGGCCCTTTCTTGGCTCTGCACCATGTGCATGCAGTTTCCTGTCTGTAATAGCCATGATCGCCAGTCCTCCCAAACCCAGCAAGCTCCTACTTCTCCATTACGACTCAACTCAAACATCCTCTTCCCTCTGAAGCCCTTCCTGACTCCTCCAGCAGGGGCAGTGGATGGTTCCTTTGAGCTCCCAGTTCTCCGCTCAGGCCTCTCCTATTCCCTTTAACACACTCTGATGACCTGTTCACGTGTCCATCCCATGTCATGGACTGTGACCCTGATGACAAGGACTGTGCCTTCTTCATGTTTGTGTCTCTGGCACCCAGCACAGAGCTACTCACCTCCCATGTATTCTAAACCCTCCCTAATACCTTAAGATCCCATCACCACTCTAGTCTAGTCTGGTCTAGATCACACGCCCCTGATAGCACCAAACAGGATTTCACATAGAGTCAAACAACAGAAGTCCATTTCACAGGAAACACAGCCCAAGATCTTACAGGGTAAGGTGTCTTTTCCTAGAACCAGACACACAAGCAGGAACCAGCTTCATTAAGAATCTGGTCAGTTAATGGGGCGGCTGGGTGGCTCAGTCGGTTAGAGCACGAGCTCTGAGCAACAGGGTTACCAGTTCGATTCCCACATGAGCCAGTGAGCTGCGCCCTCTGCAACTAGATTGAAGACAACGACTTGAGCTGAGCTGCTGCTGAGCTGCCAGTGAGTGGCTGGATGGCTCAGTTGGTTAGAGTGCATGCTCTTAACAACAAGAATGCCGGTTCGATTCCCACATGGGATGGTGGGCTGCGCCCCCCGCAACTAGATTGAAAATGGCGACTGGACTTGGAGCTGAGCTGCGCTCTCCACAACTAAGATTGAAGGACAACAACTTGACTTGGAGCTGATGGGTCATAGGAAAAACACATTGTTCCCCAATAAAGTTAAAAAAAAAAATCTGGTCAGTTAAGAGGTGCTACCCAAGATGACAGTCAACAGAGTATGACATCAGAAGTGTGGGAACCTGGCCCCAGGCATGACATTAACAACTGGGTCCTGGGTTAGTTTATCTTCTGGGCCAGGCTATAAAAACCTCAGTGAAAATGCAAGTGATGCCCACAGATCTTGGGTCTTTTACTCCAGTCATTAGCACTCTAGGGGAGTCTGTTTCTCAGATCAGGTAACTGGTGACCCAGGAGACAGGATGATGCCAGCAGGCAGTAAGAGTCTGGGTCTAAGGGGGAACGCAGTGCTACATGGGGTCTGAAGGGTCTCTGATATGTTGATGGACAGGGAAGTCCTCACCCTGCTCCACTCTCAAAAGCAGCCTTACTAGAGTACGTCTGCAACCCCTAACAAAACCGAAAGGCCTTGCACACACCAGGTAACCTCATCCCACTGAAGTTTTGGGGACAACCTGCCAAAATAAGCTAATTCAGGGGATCACAGCTGTGCAGAGCAGCTGTGGAGGAAGCCAGAGTACACAGATGTGCAGGTATTTGCACAAGGCAGTCTGGCCTATTGAGCAAATGGCCAAGGGACCAGCAAGGAGTGGGCTCAGCTTTCAAAGCCAGGGCTGCATTCAGGAAAATAAAAGATTCCAAGTTGGTGAAGTGATCAACTGTCACCTAGTATCCGGTGTCACATAGAGGATCAGTGACTGGTTCCAAACTTTGTTCTCCAAAACCTCATATGGGTCATTAAATTCTCTCACCAAGGTTTGTCTTTAATTTACGAGTGTTTCTCAAAACACTTGGTGAGAAGGCATAGTCTACATCTGATCAAGTAAAAGGTGGGAGGCCCAGCTGGTGGCATTCATCCATCCATCCCACATTCACTGATTGATTTCACCAATATTTATGTGCTAGGTGTACGCTGAAGGGGGCATGTGCTTGGAAAGGACAAAACTGGAGTCAGGTAGCTCCTGACCCCAACTCTGCACCTCTCTTCTCCAGGCAGTTGTGTTGACTCCATACCCCATCCCTAAATGGTTAATACTGTTCTGACCCTGACCAGGCACACGTAAGGCTCCGTTTAGCATCAAGTTCATTGGTGCTGACCTGGCACTATGACAGGGGACTGGCCCCAATGTCCTGTCCCCCTGTGGCTAAGGGCAAGGTCAGGAGGAGAGGAAAGGAACAGGAGTTGTACAAATAATGGCACGGGCTTAGATCACAAGCATTGCAGGTAGAAAACCCAGTGGACTTTAGCTCTTCGCAATTCAAACAACAAATCTCAGCTCACGTTTACTGAGCACTGGGCTAAGCCCTTTATCTGCATAGTGTGAAGAGTGTATGTTCTGCAGTCCAGATGTCTGTATGAATCCTGGCCCTACCCCTCATTAGCTGTGTGACTTTGGCCAAACTGCTTAGCCTCTCTGTGCCTCCATTTCTTTTTCTGCAAAATAGGGTTATACCAGTACTAACTTTAAAGGGTTGTTGTGAGGATGAAATGAGTAAAAACACAAAATGCTAAACCTGAACCATGTCCTAGCACAGAGTAGGCACTCAGTACTAAAATGAATAATTAGTATCCCATTAATTAGTCACACTAGTGTGCAGAGAAGGCAGGCTATGTCTTCCTATTTTACTAATAAGGCTTTGAGAGACTGAGTCAATCTGCTCAAGGTCACAGCGTTAATAAGTGGCATCGGAACGCAGGCAACCTGACTCCAAAGCCCACAAGCTTAAGCACCACCGCGAGCATGGCACAGTGCTAGGTTTCAGGGACACAGAGACCCACGGGGCCGTGACGTAGAGGTCCCTATACAGTGCAGTACACACTGCAAGAAAGATATATTGAGAAAAAATGGAGGGAGGAGGCTTGGGGTAGCAGGGGGCTGTCTGCAGGACCTGAAGAATGCTCCACTCAGAAGGGAACTGGAGCTCTAGCCTCCAAAAATGATGAGGAAGTTGCCAGCCAAGGAGGAGGAAGGGCATTCCAAAAAGTCAGGACCCAGAATACCCAAAGAAGAATGAGTTGGATGGTATGGTGGGCGCATAGAGGAAATGGCATAAAGGGAGGCTGGTAAGATCAGGTGAGGCCAGTCATGAATAGCTGTGTGTGTCCACGTCGGAGGTTAGATTTTCTTCTGTAAGACAGTGATTGTTGAGCTTTAATACGCATAGGATCGACCTTCAGTGTTTGTAAGACAGGTGCAGATTCCCATCCCTTCTGCTGGCACTGGGGGACAACAAGGGTATTAAGGCAGTGTAGCAGCATGGCCTGCTGGGGTTTTAACAGCAGAATTCTGGCACTGGGATGAAAGGAGATTTGGGGACAGAGGCTGGTATAATTGGTCAAACTGGAGCAGATAAGAGGATGAGAGTTGGAATAATAGGACTCTTAGTGAACTGCTACACAATACCAGGGTTTCTCAACCTCAGCACTATTAACATTTGGGGCCAATCATTCTTCATGGTGGGGGGCTGTCCTGTGCATCATAGGAAATTGAGCAGCGTCCCTGACCTCTGCCTATCAGATGAATAGCTTCCTCCCCCACCTACACACTGACAGCCAAAAATGTCTCCAGACATTGCCAGATGTCATCAGTTGGGACGCAAAATCAAAACCCTAATTGAGAACCATTGCTTTAAATCCTCCCATCCCCGCTTTAGAGATGAGGAAATCCAGCCACAGAAAGGTACAGAAAGGCCTCAGTCAGGATTCACACCCTGGTGGTCTGGTTCCAGGGCCCCGGCTCTTAGCCATCTAGCTTCACGGTCCTTCAGGGAGAGAGACTCAATCCAGCCTTCTGGGGCAGATTTGGTGACAGACTGGATGAGGGGAGGAGGATGAAAGAGTGAGGTTCGAAGGTGAAACCTGTGTGCTTGCCATTGAACTGGGAGAATAGAGTAGGTACTAAATAAAGCCTCTGGATTTGAATAGCAGCAAGATGTACTAGCTCAAAAAGAAAAAAGCCCGGTCCCCCAGAAGTATAAGCCAGCAGTTGATGGTGGGTTCCTGCTCAGACTGGACAGAGGAGCCCTCTGTAGGGCTTGACATGGGATGTGTTGTACAAACCAGGTGATACCCAAATCCTGGCTGGCCCCCTTCCCAGCTGTGTGGCCCTGAGCCCTTTACTTAACCCCTCTGCATCTCATTTTGCCCATGTGCAAAATAGTAATAGAAGTGCCTACTCATAGGCTTGATGTGAGAACTTTGGCCGTTAACATAAGCAAAACGGCAAGCTAACTCGATGTGGTTGGCCCTCCTCGCCTTGGAAACCATCTGTAGTACTCCACGCCCCTTGTGCGACTCTTAACAAGTGCTCCTCCCCCCAGCCCGAACCCAATCTTTGGGAACCTCAGACAGAGCGGCAAGGAGCTGACTGCACCCCTCTCCACCAGCAGAGAGTCCCACTGAGGCGTTAGGGGGCGCCAACAGCCTTTTTACTCCCAGTCCGCCCTGATTTCGGGGTTCTGGAAGTCGCTAAAAGCTCGCGGCGAGCTGGGTGCCTTCAAAGGAGCCAGGTAAAAAGGAGTTCAAAGTGAGCCGGGGACATTTCAGGCAGGTCCGCACCGGGCAGGCCAGGGTTCAAAGCCAGTCACGGCCACAGGCCGGCCAGCTCAGCCCCTTCTCCGGGAGGCAGAGGAGCGGAGAAGCGCCGAGATTTGGAAAGCACTCACTCCCGAAGCCAGGCTGCAGAGACAGGGAGCTGAGAGTTGTAGGATATAGAGAAAAAAGCCGGGGGCGGAGGAAGCAACAGCAAAGTCAGAGGAAGAGGAGGCAAAAAGAAAGCGCTGGAAGTGGAGTTCTCTGGGGTACCCAGCCTACAACACCTGGGCAGGGGTCAGAAACAAAGCAGCGGATTCAGGTCAGAGTGCTCTGGCTGATTCTGCAGAGGGGGCGCTGCGGGGAAGACGGGGCCCGCTTGGGGTGCCGGGCGCCCCTGCGCCCCAGGCGCGCTCTCGGGCGCCGCTTACCTTCGCCGGGGCCGCCGGCACGCACTTCCGGGGACTGTGCGCGGGGTGCGCGGGGCCGAACCGGGGACCTGGAGCCGATCACTCAGGGGAGGACGCGACAAAGCGATGCCCTGGGCTTAGGCCGGCGCTGGCATTTAGGAAAGAAATCCCAGGGGAGAAGCTGCGGGGGTGGGGGAAAGGGGGCGGCACGGGGCGCGGGGTCCTGGCCTCGGAGCTCACGGGCAGCCGCGCCGAGCCCCACAGACGCTGGAGGAGCCCGAGTCAGTGGGAGGAAAAGGTTGTCTCATTTCCTTCGGTCTCCCCGCTCCTCCGCCCCCTCTGCTCCAGACCTGCCCTCCCTCTCCCCCGCCCCCTTCCCCAAGCCAACGGCCCATGTGGGCGCTGGGAAGACGCGAAACCTGAACGGCTGCAGCGTGCGGCACCTCCCTCCGCGCCAAGTTAGTTCACGCTCCTTAAATCCTGCCTGTCTCCCGGTGCTTCCGACTGTCTCCAGCGCCCCGGAAGGCTCCCCGTTGGCGGTGCCCACCCTGTCCCAGAGCTCTGGCTTTTCCCCCTGCTGGGACAAGCCCAGATTTTAAAAAGCAGACCTTCAAGCTCCTGCCAGCATCCATCCTCTCATTCCTGTCCCGTTGCCTACTTTTGAGCCTGTATTAAGCCATCCGACCCAGACAGGAAGTAAGTACTCACTTGGCTAAATTTGATCAACTTTTTTTTTTCCCAGTAGCGAGTTTAAAGCCTGATGCATAATCTCAAAGGAATGTTCATTTTGATCAGAAGGAGAGCAGCTGAGGTCTTAGTTTGGCCTTGCTTATTCAGAGTTAGGGTTTTGTTTGTTACTTTAGTGACTTTTCTGAGAGCATGATAGGCGCTGAGCAGGGCAGAAACGAACCAGAAGGGCATATTGTTCCTAGACAATCGTCATAGGTGATTGGTGCAGGCAGAGAGGAAATCCAGGGATGGTGTGGTCTCTTAAGAGATCAAGGACTGGAAGGACTTTCTTCGGAGTAAAAACAACATGGGCAGAGGCAAGAAGGAATGAGAAAGCCCCATCAGGAGGCAGTCTAGCAGAGAACACAGCCAGGATGGGGAGTGATGGTGGGTGAACAGGGAGGAGAGTGGCGAAACACTGCATCAAGAGAGGATAGGAGCTGTAGGGAGCCAGCCAGCGGTGGGATGGAATTAACAAGACCTAGTGACCAAGAGTCTGTAGGGTGCCGATGAGGAGAGAATGAAGGGAAAAAGTAACTTCCAGGCCTCTGGCTGTAACCGGAGTAACCAGTGACCAGCGGATGACCAGAATCCCAGAGCACCTCCGAATGTGGTCCAGGGATTGGCAGTATTAACATCAACTGGGAGTTTGTTAGATATGGGGACTTTCCAACCCCATTTAACGTATTGAATCAGAATCTGCATTTTATCAAGATCCCCAGATGAATCCAGTGTGCATTAGCATTTTGAAAGCACTGCGAGGACACTGCCTATATATTAGAGTGTCTGTATAGTAGAAACACCTGGAGAGCTTTAAAAGACACTATGAGGCCTGTGTTCCACCCACATAAATGCTTACTTAATTGGTCAGGGGCGGGGCTCCAACATCAGTATTTTTGAAATGCTTTCCTGATGATCTAATATAGTCAGAGTTGAGAACCACTGTTCTAGACTTATTCAAGAGCTACTTTATTAAACCTTGAAATACAGCTCTTCAGAAAGGAAAAGAGCACCTGTGTGTGGATGAAACCATACTGACAAGTTGTATCCCTAATACAGAGGCAACTGTGGGCTGGAAAGGGCCTCTGTTTCCTAAACTAATCTGGGAACTAGATTTTAGTCTCTGATGGCCACGAAATGACTCTCCCAAACTTGGGCAAGTACTCCCCACAGTTTCGGAGGGAGAGGCAGTGTTGAGAAATGGGTTTTCCTGGTGTAGCACTGTGTGTGCTAGTGCCAGCCTTGTACACAGACATGCACGAACACCCGAGATCAAAGGATTATGTGCTGAACACAGGGCTACACACATAATTGATGCTCGATAAATGTGTACTAAATGAATAAATAAATAGTGCACAGATGCCAGTAGGTGACATAGACTTTCCATGGACTGGCCCAAATCCAGAACCTATTCATTTGCCCCTTAAGCCAGAGAAAGAACAGTGCCCTGGCCCACGCACATTGCTTTAAAACTATTGATTTAAAACATTGATTTAAAACTATTATGTACTATTAAGAATTGCTAACATTTGTTGAATGCATAGTACACACCTGGCATTGGGCTAAATGCTTTGCTTAGGGTCTCCTCATTTCATTATAATTATGAAGATACTGTTGAACCCTTACACTCCAGCTGGTTTCAGGAATCACAGATATGGAGGGAAAGAGCTGCCGTCTAGGGCAGCCTCTGCCTCTGGTTGTGCAGCTGGATATAGGTGGCCAGAGAGAGACCTCTTGGGGGTCTTACAGGTTGCTCTCTAGAGCATGCATCCTTGCACAGAGACCACTTTTGAAAGAAGGGTTTTGGAATGACTGTTCCGGGGTCCTACAGAAATAGATGTCCCCAGAAGCTATCTCAGAGGACCTGTGGGCTATATGGTTAAGCCTTGGAAAGGGACGCCTCAAAGCTACCCACTTTGTGGGTGCATGTGCATGTGTGTGTACATACTGCCTTTTAACAAGAGCCTCTTAGGTGTCAAACCCTGCGCCAGTCCTTTACACATATATTTCTTTTAATTTTCATAGCATCCTGACAGGTTAAGTACTTTCTTCTTATTTTATAAATGAGAAAGCTGAGACATCTGTCATGAAGCAAAGATCTGTTTGTCCCTGCATCCCAAGTTTCTTAAATGGCACGCTTTACTGCCACCACTGTCCACGCCTTTCACCACCCCTGCCCCCCCCCCCCACCTTGCCCCTTCCACGGAAAGGAGAGCCCTCATTTCAAGTCCCATTCACTTGTTTATAGTTATACAACATCAAAACTATGCCCCATTTCCCCACCTATAAAGTAAGATGTCCTTGATTGCCCTGTTCCTCAGCTTCTGTGTGTGGCGTGACACTCCATAGCCTGAGAAGAGATGGGAGGAAATAACACATAGACTGTTAAGAGAAACTGAATGTACTGGGGAGAGTTATCCCAAGATGAGGGGGTCCAGTACTTCACTAGTAGCACAGCTATCATAAAAGAGGAAATCATCTATTTTCCATCTCTAGGGGGACATAATTAAAGAATAACATTACATAGCAATTCAGACTTTAGGTCAGATGTGAGAAGGGACCTTAAGCCCCCTGAGCCAGAGCAGGGTAGATGCTCAGTCCGTGGCTCCCTTGTGAAGCTGCTCCCCACCCCATGGTCCCATAGAGTCTGCTGGACCAGCCTTAAGGCCGTGGTGGATGGGAACACAAGCAGGGTTGAGATCCACAGGACAAGCCGGGCAGGGGCAGGGGCAGCAGGGAGACATGCGCACACAGCATGCAGCTCCAGTTACAGCCAGGGCTGGGGAATGAGAAGCGGAAAAGCGTTCATCCTAGGAAACCAGGATCTGAAGGAATCCCTCCATGCCTGTGAGCTGGGCTCGGGTGTGAGCGCTCTTGCTAATGTGGATGCCCGCAGGCCTGAGCCACCCACAGAGTGTGCAGGGCTCCATCATCCCCCACCCCCCACCCCAACGCTGATATCCTGGCCAGCAGCACTTCCAACTCATGGAAAAATTCTAGTCCCCCGAGCCCCTTCAGTTAGCACAAATCTGGATCAGTACTCCAGCAAGTCAGAAAGCCAGAAAAAGACACAAAGGTGACATGGTAGTTTTAACTCTCAGGGAAGGGAGGCTGTGGCATTCCTTCAGCAACACAAATGTCACGATGCCAGGATTTGATAGGAGGATTCCTATGTCCACATCATCGCTGAGCTCCATCAGCCAGCTTTGACAAGGACCCAGACACAGTTTTGTGGCTTCCACTTCCCATACTCCCACCCATATTTGCATGACAGTAACTTGATGGTTTTACACAAAGCTCATGGTGGCAAATTCTTACTGGTACTGGTTCTATGCCTTAAACAAAAATACAAACTCGGTTGTGGGAACTAAGGCACAACACTCAAAGGAGGACAACAAAACAAAGTGGGGCTACCAGCCAAAGTAAAATGAGACCTTCAGACCCCTATGGTTTTACCTCAAAATGATGAGCTGCTGAAGGCACCCAGGATGCCTTCGATGAAATGTCTATCAGTGCAGTTCAGTGTAACTGCCGTTTCCTGGACACGGCCTGCCCTTCCCAGGGAATTGTCCTATACGCCATAGGCAACCTGCATATTCCACTCAGCCCTCACCTGGGGAGTGTTTTGAAATAACAAGTTGGGCTCCAGACCAGATCCACTGAATCAGAATCTCTAAGGGTGGGGCCTTTTTTTTTTTTTAACGTCTGCAGGTAATTAAAACATGCAGTCAGGGTTGAGAACCACTTCTGTAGGAAATGCAGATGAGAGGTTTACAAAACAATAAGGCACTCAGTGCAACAGTGGATGATCTCCAAAAGTCATTAGGAAAAGAAAGGTATCAAAATCGCTCCCTTGTCCAAAGCCTGTTAAGACAATGCCAGGCTGACAAAAATCCTTGGATTTATCTCAGCCTTGAGTGAGTGAGGTCATCCCCGCATGGTCAAGGGTTCGGAAATCGTGTTCCATCCCAAGAAAGTACAAATGATTGAAACCAGAATCCTTGCCCTTCTCCTGTGGCACTGCTATTTACAAGAAGCCTTCAAACATCCAGTGCTTATGAATTCCAGAAGCAGTAAATGCTCTCCAGGAGCGTCAGAGCAAGGCAGTCATGTAACCCGAATAATGAAAGACAAAGGAAATTGCCTCATGGACCGATGAGAGGCTAATGGATGTGCAGACAGAGACACCAATATGTCACCGTTAATGATGTCACTTTAAGAAAATCAGGAGGCCAGGAATTTTTTTTCAATGTTTTGCCCTATGGTTATTTTATATTTATATATCTTAGCAAAAATAAGCTTGAAAACAAAAATGTGTACTTGTTTAAAATATTAGTTTGGGGATGCAGGACAATTCCTTTCTTTTTTTTTAACCCACTGCCTCACTTTTGCTATTTTATTCCCTGGCAAAGTAATGGGATTTCTGTTAAAGCCCATGGATAGCCATTAACCAGGTGGCATTTAAATTCATTCATTCCACAACATTCATTCCTGCTGAAGTGAGACTAGTCATTTGATAGTTTTAGCTACTAACACCTCCTAGACACCAAAGGTCAGAACGCAGCACCGAACATGTACAGCCCAACCTGTCACCAATTTGTTTGTTTGTTTGTTTGTTTTTTGTTTGTTGTTTTTTTTTTAGCTGAGCCATCCTGCCACCTGTTGGCAGCTCAGCGGCAGCTCAGCTCGGGCCGGACTCGAACCGCTGTTGCTCAGAGCTCAAACCTTTGAGCGAGCTCTTAACCAACTGAGCCACTCAGCCGGCCCTTGTCACCAATTTTTTACAAGGTCCAATGGATGCCTTTAATCACCAAGTAAATCAATGTTGATGGTTATGCCCCCTCTGAAGTTCTAGTTTCCAGATGTAGACAACTAAAGTATAAAATCCATGTTCACCAGACATTCTCTTCCTTTTCAGAGAGCAACATTGTACCTGTACGAAGGAATGTGAAAGACTGCTGGGAGCACCATTCAGTTGTTCCAATGAAATTTTAATAGAAATAAGCCCAGGGAATATAAGCACACTGCTGAGGACGCCAATGTTCTAACCACCTCCCCAACCTTTCTTAAAATGTTATGTGCCCAGGGGGACTGCGATAATGAAGAACAAGCATTAATTAAGTGTGTCTTCAATGTATTGCAAAGTGGAGGCTTATCTCATTGAATTATTTCCTCATGGTCCCAGTCTGAAGAGTAGAGATCTAAATACTCTGGCTCAACCACTTTGTCTTGCTCAGGGTAATAGAGTAGAGATCAAAATATTTCTCTAGCCAGTTGCTGCTGCCCAATACAACATTACCTTTGATTAATGACAGGTTTTAAATCAACATATTCACCAGTTAAACTATAAACATAGCTGAGTGTAAATTTTGCTGCTTTTCTTTCCCCTCCATTTTCCGTAGGGAGATTTTCATGCCCAGCTGGACACCGTCTCTGCTTTTTCATCTTGGCTAATGAGGTTAAATAAGCATGAACAGAACTTTAATAAATCAACCACACAAAATGTAAAAATGAGAGGTTTCAATTATAAAAAAAATTGCTAGTAGTTGTTCTTTAAGAAAACACAAGTTAGATTCCTGCCACAACATACAGGACCTTAAATAGCTGTCTACAAGATAACTGTCTATTTTTATATTGAAAATACCATTGACTGTCATTACAAAATTGAGAAATCCTGCTGTAAGTAATTTTAGTCCCATGACTTTTTAAAAAAATTACACTTCATATGTAGTAAACTATTAAAAGACATTTTTTAGGGGAATAAGAAACATGAGTTCAACAGAAAGTAAACTTTGAATTAAAGTAGCCTCAACCTAGCAGCATAATGGAACTGAACACTGAGCTGTATCTCAGTGCTCCATGATCAGGCTGACTGCAACCCATCCAAATTCCTCAGAGACTTCTTTCCTGTAACTCTGTGAAAGGTGTGAGCTCGTGAAATTAATAGAGTGATTTGTTCTGGAAAACAAATGGGCCAACACAGAAGAGAAGACAACACATACCAAACAATTCATTTCTTTGAAGGGTGTTCACTAACTAAAACAGATGGTCGTGGCAAGGGGTGAAACTTCTGAAAACCCCACAGAGCATTCATTTAATCAGTTCTTTAATTCATAAATGTTATGGTAGCAAGTGCTGGAACATGGTGTCCTTATGCACAGGTGGGCTAGATCTGATTAAACCAAATGGATGCCAATCTTTCCGTTACCCCAGTGCCCAAACTGCAGTGATTTCCATTCCTTAACTGGTATCTGCTACCAGCAACCTGTCAGCCTCCTGTGTTTGGACACAGCTAATGGAGTTTGGGATCCACTTTGGATGTGAACAAGGAGTCTAAGATTATGGACCTAACAGAATAAGTCATAAATGAAAGTCTCATTCATTTGCTTCACCAAAAGGTCCACACGGAATCCTTCCAATTAACCAGTATGGTTAATGTAGTCACCCTGTGATCCATTGGATTTATTCGTGATGGTTTACTATATAGGAGCTCCCCTTTATCCAGTTTCACTTCTGTGGTTTCAGTTACCCGAGGCCAACCATGGTCTGAAAATAGTAAATGGGGAATTCCAGAAATAAACGATTCCTAAGTTTTAGATTGAAATGCCATTCTGAGTAGGGTGATGAAATCTTGCCCCTTCCTGCTCCATCCCACCCAGTTAGGTGAATCATCCCTTTTCCCAGCGTATCCATGCTGTATACACTCCCAGTCCATTAGTCACTTAGTTATCAGATTGACTGTTTTGGTATCACAGTGCATATGTTCAGGTATCTCTTATGTTACTTAATAATGGCCCCGAAGTGCAAGAGTAGTGTTGCTGGCAATTCACATATGCCAAAGAGAAGCCATAAAGTGCTTCCTTTTAAGTAAAAAAATGAGTACAGTACAAGATATTTTGAGAGAGACCACACATTCACATAACTTATTACAGTGTATTATAATTGTTCCATTTTACTCGTTGTTAATCTCTTACTGTGGCTAATCTATAAATTAAATTCTATCCTTGGTATGTATGTATGTACAGGAAAAAACACATTGGGTTAGGCACTATCTATTATTTCAGACATCCACTGAGGGTCTTGGAAAGTATCCCCCACTGATAAGGGGGGACTACTGTAATGAGATGTACAAAGTGACAAAATTGCCACACAGATGTGTGACCTCAAACCCCCAGGGCACACGGAAGTTTGGTCAGGTCAGAGGGTCTTCTTTATGCCTCAAGCCCCTGCTTGCCAGACCTTTCTTCCTTCCTCCACTCCCTCTTCGCTTCTCTTTGATCTTTTCACTGCCTTCTTCCCCTTAACCTTGAACATGCCTAAAACTGCCCCATCATTTAAAACACATTAATAAATTATTATTAAATAAATCTTTCACGTGCTGTACACATTGATAGATATTCTTCTATATCTTTCTTTTCGTAACCAAACCTCAGACAACAAGGTGCACTTGTCATCATCACTTTCTAAGCCCCCATTCAATCCTCAGCTCACTGTAGTCTGGTTTCTGTTCCCAACACTCGACTGAACTGCCTTCATGGAAGTCACTAATAGCCTCCAAATTTCGAAATCCAGAGACTGTCTCTGAACTTGTGTGGTGACCTCTTGCAGTACTTTCCGCTGCTCACCACTTCCCTCTTCACAAGCTCTCCTCCCTTCCCTTCTGCGCTTCCCCATTTCCTAGCTATGCTCCTACCATTGTGACCACTCCTCCTCTGTGACCTTCCTTAACTGGCTTTGCTTCAAAACAAATGCATCTGTTCATGTCACCTCCTACAGGATAAAATCTAGACGCTTTTGCATGGTATGCTCAGCCCTTCGCCCCTGCCTGCCTCTCCCACCCATCCAGTAACAACCTGTCTGTCTTCTGCTTCAGCACATCAGCCACTTTACCGTCTCCCAAACATGCCATGCTATTTCACGCTTCTGTACCTTTGTACAGAACGTTCTTGACTCCACCCCCACCCCTGAAGAATTCCAGCTCATCTTGTAAGACTTGGAACAAAGGCAAGCAATTCTGAAAAGGCTTCCCTTCCCCCAAATAGAGGCAATGCTCCCTCTAGTCCCCTGTATCCGTGACATCTGTGACATGTATTCACCGTGAGCTCTGCACCATGTCGCCTCACCTGGATTGGAGTCCTGTGAGGGTAATAGGTGCTTGTTCATCTGTCTTGAGTTTGGCACAGTGCCTAGCACCTAGTAGGTGCTGCTATATGATTAGGGTGCAAGAAACCTCACACTTCTTTTGTTTCTCTAAATTGAATTTAATTGGCCCTGAGCTCTCTATTCTCTCCCTAGGGAAATTTAATCTCAGTCATTATTGGAACATGCCTTCTCCCTAGGGTCAGGAGGAGGTTCCTGGCGACTTGTACCATACAGAGCATGCAAAGAGAGCCCTCTGGACTCTGTCTACACGCATCACCTCATCCAGGTTTATTGTCCAAGCCTGCAATGGAACCACAAGGCAGGTTCTTCTGAGGCCTGAGCCTTGCGGATTCCCCCCCCCCCGCCTCCCCACAGGGGTTCTCAAGGCCACAGCCCTTACTATTTAGTCATTCCTACCCCACCCCCACCTCTCCTACCCCTGTTGTGGGTGCTGTGGGAAAGCAGGGCCCAGGCGTTCACACCTCATGAACATACCCAGGGATCCTGCTCTTTCTGCCCTTTTCAGGGACCCCCTTAGCCTCTGGTCAGGCTGTGCACCCTCAGAAACCCAAAGGCCCCTTCTTGCCCCAGCGCAGTGCAGCACAATTGCCCCCCGTGAGGTAGGCAGCTAAAACAAAAACAGGAATAAGATGTCTTCTACTAGAAAGTCTGTTTTCAGCCCTGCAACAAGAACAACAACAAACCCCAAAGACAAGGGCACACCAGGGTCTTACTACCTTCTTGAGGCAGAGGAGAGAAGAATACCTATAGCAAAGAGAACAAGACACAAAATAGTTATCTCAATAAACTAGCCTGCCCCATAATCTTCAATGAATTTGTTCAACTACTTAATTAAAAGCAGTCACGTCCATGAAAAAATATGAATTGAATTGCTCTCCCAAAGAAAGACACCTCTTCCTGGCAGCCCTCTTCACTCAGCCTTAGTCTCCTCATTCCTTCTCTGGGGAGGGAGGCCTAATATCTCTGAGATCCTCCCATCTGTGGCCCAGGAACGCCACTCACATGGCCGAGTTTATTTGAGCTGCCGACTTGGATTGCTGACATGGGCATTTGCAGCAGCTGCACTAACCCACTTTCTCTCATGGATGATTTTAATCTTTTTAATTTTTGCCCAGCCTGTGAGAAAACTGAAAGCCTGGTGGGAGGGGGCCGGAGATAGAAGTTGCAGGTCATGAGCTGAGTGGTGGTTAGATCCTAGGGGAGGAAGCAAACGCGTGTGTAATCCTTTCAGGAAAATAGTATTACTGGAGAGGAGAAAGCTGCCAATGTAACTTTGTTCCAAGAATAAATAGCACATTTTTCCTCAGTGTTTACTTTTCTCTCTTTGATCCCCTTGAAGCCCACTGGAAATGCCTGGCCAGCAATTTTGCTCCCTTCCGAGGCTGGGGAGAAGGAGCCACAAGCACTCTCTTGAGATTCCTCAAATGGAGGCGTAAGTAGGGTTCCTGGACAGGGCTGGAGCCACGGGGCCTGCGGAAGCGGGGGCTCTAGACATTTCAGTGAAGTTTAATCACCACAAATATGCCACAGTGTTTCCAAACAAGTCATTGTGATGCCCAGAAGCTGTTCAAAAGGAAATACTAATGGAGAGGGCCTATGACCAAAGCCACTGGAAGCCACGGGAGTTGGAAAGAAAAAGCCGAGCTCAAGTGGGTTAATGTTTAGCTCTGGTCCCAGGCGGTGGTGACTGCCTGCACTCAGCAAGGCTGAAGCGAGCGTGCCCTCGCCGTGGGGAGTTATGGTTCAAATGCTGTAGAAACCGCAGCCTGCAGTTACAAAGTTTTTCCCCTCCTTTCCAGATAGCTTCATTCCAAGGAGTTGCAGGCAGGACAATACCAAGGGCAGATAAGGGCCTTGGCATTAAACAGACCTGCATTTAGCTCTGGTTCTTTCACTGACTGGTTGTGAAGTCAGGCAAGGTAAGGACTCGGTTCCCTCATCTGTCAGAGGGGAATGATAATTATGATAGGGTGGTCATGAAAAATATATGCACTAATGCACGTCAGCTTCGCATCATACTCGACTCTGTGTTCAATCCATGCCAGTTCCCTCCCACCACTGCCTCCCCACAGGATGTCACTTAATCAGAAAATACTTACTAGGCACTGATTAATGGTAAGATCAGTACCAGGCTTAAGCAGAAAGCCAAGACATATAAAACCCAATGGGAAACTACATAAAAAAAATAACTAATCAAGTCTGGAAAGTGTCAAGTATCAGGTGCATGTGTTGTCATAGATAAAACTACACAGGAGGCACCGATCAATGGCCAATGCTGGCAGTCGGTCCTACCGGTAGCTAGGGGAAGCTTTGTGGAGAGGGCTGGGCTTGCTCTGGACAAACAGGCAAGGAACAACCAGACATATTTTGGAAAAGCTAATAGACTTACTTTGTTTCATAGGATCCCCATAGGGATATTTTGGAGAACATTTGGAGGGGAAGGTAGGGACTGGTAGATTAAAATGATGGCAAGTTCTTTGTCACTGTCCTTATTGAGAGGTACTCTTGACTTCTCCTATTCTGGACTCTGGGCTGGTTCCATGACTGAGTAACAAATAGAACATAGCAGAAATAATGCTCTACCAGTTTTGTACCTAGACTTTCAGAGAATCAGTAACTTTCACTTCCTGCTTCTTGGAACTTTTGCTCTTTAAACTCTGTCTCTGAATCCAGCCACCATGCTGTGAGAAGCCCAGACCGTATAGAGAAGCCATGTGTAGGCTTTTTTGTCAAAGTCTCACCTGAGTTCCCAGCCAACAGGCAGTATTAAGACCAGTCATGGGAGTGAGCCACCTTGCCTGTTCCAACCCAGTCAAGCCCTCAGGTGACTGCCGTTGATACCATATGGGGCAGAAGAGCCACACAGCCGATCCCAGGCAACTCACAGAATTGTAAGAGATAATAAAGTGGTCCCGGGAGTGATAATTGAAATAGATCATTGAAATAGGAAGGAACTTGTGGGAGGCCTTGAATGCCAAACTCCAAAGTCTACACTTTGTCATTGTCATCATCATCTCGGAAACCATTAGTAAATAAATGGTTACTATGTGCCAGTCACTATGTTGTAAGATTTTAATATATTTAAAATTTTTAACCCGCTTATAAACCTTTGGGCTAGGTGCTACTTTCACATTTACTAGTCAAGAAAACTATAAGTTAGGAAGCCTTAGAAATTTGCTCAAGATAATACAACCAGAAAATACTAGAAATGGGATTCAACCAGTTACATTCTGACCACTCTCAAACCTGTCATCTTCTTCCTTCAAAGAGAATAAGCAATCAGTATGCTGATAATCTTGGGAGATACAAACAACCCTTCCAGGAAAATTGGCAACCAGTTTGCAAAACACAAGCTGTCAGGGCTTGTCAAATAATTCCAGGCAAGAAAATAGTAATGGGTCTAACTCACTTTATTTGGTGACTGTATAGGTACATGAGACAATTTGGAAAAAATAAGAATTGAAAGTTTAAATTAGGGTTTGGTAGGAAAATGGAAGCCACTGTATTATCTCTTTCTGCATATCACTCCCCCCACCACCAAATAAAAAGAAAAAAACTTAGTAGCTTATGACAATAATAATCATTTACTATCTGTCATTGTTTCTTTGGGCCAGGAATTTGGAAGTGGCTCAACTGGGAAATTCTAGTGTGAGATATCTCAAGAGATCAACTGGACATTAAGTCATCTGAAGAATTTCCTGGAACTGGAGGGTCAGCTCCAAGACAGCTCATTTACACGCTTGGCAAGTTGATGCTGGTTGTTGGTGGGAGGCCTCAGTTCCTCATTAGGTAGGCCTCTCCAGCAGGCTATTTGAGTGTCCTCATGACTTGAAAACTGGGTTCCCCCACAGCGTTCCTTTCAAAAGGCCAAGGCAGAAGCCACAATGCCTTTTATGGTCTAGCTTCAGAAGTCACATACACCATTTCTTCCACCTTATTCTGATGCACAGGGCCATCCTGACTCAGTCTGGGAAGGTACTCCACAAAGTCATAAATACCAGGAGAAAGCAATCACTGGGGGACCATCCTGGAGTCTAGCTACCACATTCCTCAATCTATTCCAAGTACTAAAGGCTTTCCAAAAGATTATTTGAGTCCTTCACATCTGTTTGCAGGACTAGGAGCGAAGGTCAAGGAGGCCATTTGTGATGATCTCAGCTTGCATCACCATCATAAGAGGTTCTGAAGAGCTCACTTGAAAGCTGCTTCAAATATCAGAAAACTTTGAGAAATGCCTACCATTCATCTCAGCCAGCAACTCTGAAATGAGAGATTCTCTAGAGACTACCACTGGCTGTCTCAGCTACTTACAGTACCAAAGAGTCATTCACTAGCGAGTACCCTGAAGCTGCAGAGAGCCTCACACCTGCTTCCAGAGAACATGGTTTCTCCTATATGTCTGCCTTCCAATTTCATGCAAATGCTTCTCATTGACTAACACTACCCTAGGATCATAGAGAAAAGGGGATTCTGGGAAATGTAATTTCTGGTCTCTCTTCAGTGACGTAGAAAGTCTGTGGAAGCAGGTGGTAGTAATACTGAGCTGACTACAGATAATTCAGCCCAGTCTTTGGGGGTCTTTCAGTCAAGGAAATATGTATAATACTATGTATTTTGGCTTGAAATTCACCCTTATACTCTGAAGATAATAATAAACAGCTTAAAATTTTTTTAAGTCAGAGAAGACATACTCACAAGATAAACATTTCCACAAATGGGATAGTAATGAACAGGGGCTGAAGCCATAAACCTATGGATCCAGAAATGGGCAGAGAGGGTTATAATTCTACTTCTTTAGAGATGTTATGGACCGAATGTTGGTGTTCCCATAAAATTCATACATTGGAGCCCTAATCCCCTATATGATGATATTAGGAGGTGGAATTAGGAGGTGAGGCCATGAGGGTGGAGTCTCATAATGGGATTAGTGTCTTTATAAGAAGAGAAAGAACAGAGCTCACTCTTTCCTGGAGCACATAAAGCAGTTCTGTGAGTATACAGTGAGATGGTGGCCATCTGTGGGCCAGAAAGCCTGTCCTCCGCAAGAACTAAGTCTTCAGGCACCTTGATCTCGGATTTCCCAGCCTGTAGAACTGTTTAAGTCACCCAGTCTATGGTATTTTAATATAGTAGCTGGAGCTGATTAAGACAAAGGATTTTAACTCCTGAAGGGTGATGGGACTCAAAAGCACCCTGTGCCTGACAAGAGACCAGAGCTGGGATCACTTCATGAAAGACATTACTAAAAACTGAGATCACATCTAGGGCTATGTCTTCTTAAAGTGGAGTATCTCTGGCCCTATTCTAAGTGTTATGTCATCAATTGCCCTTGAAGTAGAGAAAAGCCTTATATGCATTATCTTCTCACTGAAACCCATACTTCCTTATATTAGTTTTATCTTTTTAATGCCCCCCCCCAAATTATTTCACCAGATTTACCAATATATTTTACTATCTTGCCTTTTTTTCTTACATCCTATTTCTTACATTCTATGAATGTACTTTTCTTCTTGCTAAAGTATATCCTTTAGTAACTTTTTCTTCAAGGGTCTATAAAAGGTAGATGCTCATATTTTTTACATTTCTGAAAATATCTTTATTTTCTCCCCTCTTGTACAATAATTTAATTGGATATAGAATTCTAAGTTGGCAGTGATATTCCTTCATAACTTTGAAGATATTATTCTGTCTTCTGGCATTTCATTACTAATGAAATGTCTTTTGTCAATCTAATTGTTCTTACTTTTCTTTCTATTAAATTTTAACAATTTTTTTCTATCCCTCATGTTATAGAGTTCCCATTATGTTTAGTTGTAAGTTTATTTCATCCTGCTTAGCACCCTGTATGCTCTTATAATCTTTAAACTCATGTTTTTCTATTGTTCTGACATATTATTACTTCTAATATTGATTTTCTGCCATATGCCATTTCCTTTATTTTATACTTTATTTCCTATTTAATTTGTGTTGGAAACTTTTTGTCTGCTTTCCATGTCATTTCATCCATATTTTGTATCTCTTTAGTTCTATAGCTTTCTGTGTGATTGCTACTATTCTATATCCTAATTCATCAATTATAAAGAGTTTTTAATCTAGAGTTTATCCTATGTATTGATTTGTATTTTAAATTTTGAAGAATGTACTGACATTTTCAGGATTTCTGTTTCTTTTTAAAAAAAATCATGTCAAGATTTTTCCATGTTCAGGATTCACATCTAACTTGTTTTTATTTCACAATTCCTTATTCTTTTTTATGGATATTATTCTGTCTCTTAACACTTTGAATAGTGTATTCATTTATTTAATAGCCTCTTATAGAGGACCTGGAGGGTGTTGTGCTGAGTGGAGTATAAAAGACAGGGAAAGACAAATGTAATGTGATTTCGCTTATGTAGAATCTGAAAAACAAAACAAACAAATCAGAAAAAAATGCATAGATACTGAGAACATTTTGATGATTGCCATCTAAGAGGGTGTTGGAAAGGTGAGTGAACAGGGGAAGGGACTAAGAAGCACAAATTGGTTGTACAAGGTAGTTATGGGGAGGTAGGGCATAACATAAGGAATATAGTAATATTGTAGTAACTATATGGTGTCAGGTGGTTACTAGATTTATTGTAAATAATATATGGGAGGAGATATATGGTGATATATGGGAGGAGAATTGGGGGGCAAGGTGAAAAAGGTGAAGAGATTAAGAAGTATAAATTTGTAGTTACAAAATAGTCATGAGGATATAAAATAAGGCGTAAGGAATATAGTCAATCATATGGTAATAACTATGTTTGTGCCAGGTGGGTATATAAGAGGTTCAAATTTCCAGGTATAAAACAAATAAGTCATTGCGGTGTAATCTACAGCATAGGAAATGTGGTCAATAATATTGTGATAGTGTGGTACGGTGTAAGATGGTTGCTGAACTTATCATGGTGATCACTTTAAATATATAAATATTGAATAACTATGGTATACACTGTAGAAGCTAATATATTCTATGTTAGCTATACTTTAATAAAAATCTTTGAAAAGGAAGTAAAATGTCAAAAAAAATTGAAGAGCTTTTTTTATCAGAGCGTTTGAGAACAACCGTAATTGAGTTGGTGGTCCTGATGGGTCAGAGAGCTCCATATCCTGCAAGAACCATGCTGAATGCCACCAACCTGTCAACTTCAGCTCCCTTAAAGGAGTCTTCTTGTTTATAGAGCCTACCTAGTTCATACGTTGACCATAGCCAGGTCAACCCATGGGTGAAACTTAGGAAAACCTGGAGAGAGCCAAGTGGTTCATACTAACCATACTAACTCTGAAACTAAAACATGTGTTCCCATTGCAGAAGTCCCTCAGCATATGGGAGCCCCACAGATTTCACTACCTAATCTAAATGGTTCCCAAATTCTTTCTATACTAAATTCTAACCCTAATTGAGTTGGCAGTGATAAGTGGGTTCCAATTAAGGGAAGTTAATTCTCCAGTCCCGAAATCCACAGCTAGTTTGCTGAAGGTACATGCAGAATATGATCAAGGAAGAAGTCAGTAATTTCCAAGGAATCAGAGCCAAGTGGAGATTGACAAAATAATATCCAAATTTTCAAACAGGGAAAAATGTGGATCCCAACAATTATACCAATCAGATGGAGTCTAGAATGTGTTAGTGACTGTGAAAATACGAGTGAGGGCCAATGTTCACATGAGTTTTGGAATCAGGCAGGCCTTTAAGGGCCGGCTCCGCCCTTTAAGAGAAATATGATCTTGACAATTTACATAACATTCCTGAGTCTCAGTTTCCTTTTCTGTAAAATGAGGATTTTTTTTAAGCACATAGTTGTTTTTTAAATATTTTTTAAATGCCTTGTGTTATAGAAATCATCAACATTCATAAAAGTAGTCATATAATGAACTGCCTCTCTTCCCCCCTTCCTTTTTTCTTTCCTTTTTTTAAATTTATTAACTTAATAATTTGGACAAGACTCATTTGGGGGGAAGATTGTATAACTCCGTCATCCTAGCATTAATCACTCTAACCTCATTATCTTCAAACTGCTTTCTACCTCATTTGTAGTCACTCCTCGATCTCATAAGTAGGAAATACCCATGACAAAAAATGAGGAAATTAATACCCACCTCATAGGATTTTTTGTGAAGATGAAAAATGGTAATGAATGTAAGGCATTTAGCATTGAACCTGCACATACCAAGTGCTCAATAAAAAGTAGTGATGATGATGATTTATAAATAATGTTTAAATCCATAAGCTTTACAAAAGAATGCAATGAGCACTAGGGACTGGGAAAGATTTATTAATAGTTGTTTCAGACTGATTTCATTTAATTTTTGTTATTAAATCGATAAACCAAGGAAATACTAGTAACCCGAATCTGTCCTTATTTTATTAAAGCATTTAGCAGAAGTCATTATATCATATTTTTGTACTCAAAACGATATCATGTTATCTATGAGGAAGAATCTTGATCTATGAATAATTGTACCAAGCCACTAACTCTGTGTCAATCTTGAGGGTAGTCAAGGTGTTTGTGTTTGGATCAATTCATAGTAAAAAATATGCACTTAAGCCTCGATAGAATCGAATTGGCACAACCTGTATTTTATTGAAGATAATAACTGTATAACTTTTATTATCACCTCCCCTAAGGAGAACATTTTGATTTTATTTAATTTCTCCCTGAGAGAAATTAAATAGTACTAAGGAATAAGATTTTTGTTGGGTAAGACTGAACTTTGGGGAGCACAAACCATTGTGAGGTAGAGATTTTTTTAAAGATTTTTATTGGGGAATTGGGGGGATGGAAACAGCGCTGGGGAATTGGGGGAAGGGGAACAGACAAGTTGCTGTCGTTTTGTTGTTCAGCATCCTAGCTGTAGAGGGCAGTGTCACTGGCCCTCATATGTGGGATCCGAACCGGGGCCCTCTGGCATCCCAAGCCAGTTCTAACCAACGCGCCACTCGGCCGGCCCGAGATTTTTTTCACTAGTCACTCCCACTGAGAAAGCATGGGTTAAGATCGGATAAATAGCCACACACTTTATTTTATTTGAATAAGGAATATTCAAATTCATATTACATCATCAGCATTTCCTCAGGTTAATACCAACTTTTATTTGGTGTTAACATTTTATTTGAATAGACACTTAGTGTGAGCCAACAAGGAGATACAGCTGCTGAAGGAGGTATCATAGTCATGGGCTGTGTCAAAAAGTCAAGTGTTGAAGATAGTAATAGTGGAAATTCTAATGTACTTTTTTTTGGTGAGACTTCCTGAGTGCTGATCCAGTTCTAGACAGCTAACCATCAATGAGGTTCTGACAAGCTGCAAGCAATCAGAGTTCTGAAGCCAAATATCACACGAGAATCCAGATCATATATGAGGAACCAGATCATAGAAGAAAAACTCGAGGGACTCAGAATAAATAGGCTGAAGAAAAAGAAATGTATATGGAACATGACAATTATAATCAAGTATTTAAAGGAGGAAAACAGGGGGAAAATTGTGATTCAAAAATCCCACCCACAGCAAGGCTGCCATTTATAAGTCAGGGTAAAAGGAAGACATTGTTAGCTATGCAAGGACCCAGAAAACACACAGCTCAGCTTCCTTTCTGAATAAGCAACTGTCACCATGTTCTAAAGTGTAACCCTAAATGCAATATAGTGTCCTAGAACAGACATCAGTAAAACACTGGGGAAATCTGGAAAAAGCCTATACATTAGTCAGTTATGGCACCTATGTCAATTTCTTAGTTTTGTTAAATATACTATGGTTATGTAAAATGTTTATTCAGATTTCCATGTTTTTCTCCTTTAAATATTCTCCTTTAAATATCGTTGGTGAGACTTCTTTTGGAGTTTTGAGTTCTAGGCAGTAAACTACTAACCTAGGAAAATAATTTTAAAAATCCATATGCACTAAGATAATCATTACATCATTATGCACACTTGTGAAAATTTGGAAACAAAATGTTCAACAATATAGGAGTTGTTATATTACGGTACATCTCTATGATTTAACGTCTTGGAGCCATTACAAATGTTTATAAAGTTGGTATTAACATGAGGAACTGTTTATGAAGTAATATGAAATTTAAAAGCTGGATATAAATCTGAGTTGTAACCCTAACTGCTATTAAGCGATTATACAATTTAACCAAATAGAAAAAAAGATTAGGGAAAAAAAAGACACTCGAAACTAATACACATTTTCTCTGGTTATTAGTTTCTTTATCTTTTTCTCTATTTGCTTGCTTCCTCTAGTAGGTATGTATATATTACTTTCATAATAAAAAAATCCATAAAAAGGTTTGAGCTAGTTATTATGTAAACAGTTTAGAGGTCACCATTGCTCCTCTCTCCCCTGGGCTTTGTCTGACTATAGAATGTTTAAAGGACTGAGAATAAAAGTCTGAAGATTGCACAGCATAAAATAACTTATAAGGATCTTTTTTTTAAGAACATGAACTATGGCTTAATCATATTAGAGCTGGAAACAAAACAAAACAAAACAAAAAACTGTCTACGTGCTTCCAAGCAGTCGCAAATGGCTTAGAGGCAAGAAAGCCATCAAGATTGAAGAGTGTGCCAAAGATACTTCAACTGCTGATGAGTGTCCCGTATATAGAAGGGAAACAAAGCTAGAGGGGGAGGGATTAGACTCTGTCACAGGCCTTGGACAAAAAAACCAAAATTACATTTTAGTGCAAACAAATGTTCATAAAATAAGAGTGGCAATAATCCAAGCTGAAAAACATATACTTAAGGATGGCATTTATCCAGAACAAAGATTTAAGTCTCATTATCAGAAATGCTTCATGTAACCATCAAATACAGAGCAGAGAAAATCCAAGTCAGGGAGCTGAAACGCCACAGGCAAAACACCCGACACAAAGTATACAGGGATTGCATTGTATCATGGAGAGCCTTCCTTGCGTGAGCCAGTCATTTCCTCCCCATGAGGGTTCCTTATGCAGTGCTGATGAAAACAGGATCTCATGCACAAAGATGAAAGGGAGCATCATCTCATGGATATGGACAAATGATACCAGCACCTGCACCCATCTTGCACAACCCTCCTCAGTATTTAGGAATACTGAAACTGGGGCCAGAGACCAGCCATGAATCAGTAACCCTCCAAAGGCACCCCATCCAGCTGCACATTTCATTTTTCCAGTGATGGACCACATATATGCGTGGACTGTATACAAGTTTTACTGGCAGTCTGTTCGCAAGCCAGAAATAGGGGTTTGTAGCTTTAATGCCAAAGAAAATCAAGGCACAATTTAATAAATGTTGCTTCTATAAAACATTTTATAAGCCTGTTAATTGTAGAACTGATATCAAGAGGCTAAGTTG